TTTAGGGGTTTAGGTGTTGGGGGTTTGGGCTTCGGGATTCAAGGATTTAGGGTTTAGGGGGTTTGGGGTTTAGGGTTTAGGGGTTTGGGGGTTCAGGGGTTTAGGGGTTTAGGGTTTAGGCCTGAGTGCACGACGTCGGGTTAGCAGTACGGTTTTGTCGGGTTTAGGGTTTAGGTCTAGCGGCTTAAAGAAGACAGAAGAAGAAGCAGGACCAAAGAGTAGAGATGATAATCATCCTACGTTTAGGATCCTAGGCTCCATACTCTAAATTTGCAGGACTGGAGCATTACTCTTACTGTTCAACCATAGCTTCAAACGGTCAAAGCCCGAAGAAACAAGAGCTGGACATTTTTTGCTACTCATTCCGTTGAAGTTTTAGGGCCAATATACCAATATTACTGTTAGGGTTCCTTATTATAGTTATAGTATAATATACACCAAAACCCTATTCCATTTATTAAGGCCCCTATATTAGCTTTGATTGTGGGCTGCAGTTTTCTTCAGGCCGCGGGGACGGATGGTGCTAAGATCCACGTCTTAGGGCGTCCTGTTTGGGGCTGCTGTGTTTGGGGGGTCTAGGGTTAGGAGCATTAGGTTTCAACCATTATAAACCCTAAACCCCTAAACCCCTCAACCCACACCCTAAACCCCAAACCTCTAAACCCCGAAACCCTAACCCCTAACCTCAGGACCTCAGGCTCCCATGTTGCCTTGCCTTGCCTTGCGGGGGGTGGGGGGGGGTCCTGCTGGAACCTCTAAACTCTAAACCCTAAACCCTAAACCCTAAACCTATAGTTCTGCTTGCAGGTCGTCTTCGCAGGCCGCAGTAATGTCGGAAAATCTTCACTGGACCCTCGGCTCAGGCCCTGCACTTCCTTAGTTCCCCAATATACCCAGCCTTTAAACGGGTCTATAGGGTTCCTTTATAGGGATCTATAGGGGTTCCTTTAAAGGGGTCTAGAGGGTTCCATAACTTAGTTCCCCGATATCCCAGCCTTTAAATTTTGGGGTTCTTATCATGTAGCAGTCTGAAAGTTTAACCTCTTATTTCCCTGGCTTATGGGGGAAGTAAGTATGGGGTTCCTTTATAGGGATATATAGGGTTCCTTTAAAGGGATCTATAGGGCTCCACAGGGTTGATGTTAGGGTTCAGGTTAGGCTGCTTAAGTCACTTTAGCCTTCAGAGTTCATGGTAGAGCTCAAGGTTTCTATTTTGGGCTTTGGCGTTTAGGGCTTAGGGTTTAGGGTTTAGGGCTTAGGGCTTAGGGCTTAGGGTATAGTTGGTAAATACCACTCAGATC